TACGGGCGGCCCGAGTTCCTGGGGCTGTCGCAGGACGAGGTGGAGTGCAGCGCCGACCACATAGCGCGCCCCATCCTCATCCTCAAGGAGACCCGGCGGCTGCCCTGGGCCACCGGCTACGCAGAGTGAGTGCAGCGACGCCCTCCCCCTCCCCCCTGCTTCTCGGCCCCCGGGCTTTCCCTGGGGGGCCGGCGCCAGGCCTCGGCGGGGTCCCTTTTCCTCACACGGCCCGTACCCCTTTCTCCCCACTTCTTCCCCGCCCGACCCCGAGCGTGCGGGGACTCCGGCCCCTCGGCTGGGTGGTGGCGGGTGGCCCCCCGCCCGACAGTGGGAAAGGTAAGGTTGGAGGCTCTGGGGTTGGTTCGGGCGCTGCGAGGCTTGGAGGAAAGTGGGTCCAACCGCTCTGCTGAAGTTTGAACCCGGAGAAGCTGTGTCCGTCGCCCCTCCCCCGAATCCCTGTGGTCACCCCCACCCCTAGGGTTTCCGGGGGTAAAGGCTTTGGACTGGGGCTGGGTGTTCGAGCCCCGAGCCCCGGGGGTGGCAGCGATCGCGTGCGCGGTTCTGTGTTTGGGGAGGTCCGACGTCCGATCCCCGAGTTGCTGCTGCGCTGCCCAGTGAACCTCTCCCTCCGCGTTCGGTAGAGGCCGGCACGATTGGCCCGTGGGGAGGGGACAGCTTACTCCCGTGACAGTCAGCTTCGGCGATTCTGTCCGCGTTTAAATGAGTGACTATTTCGGGAAGCGATTGAGTTCGATGGAGGACCCGGAGGGGAGCAGGAAAAGAAGGGGGAGGGTTTGAAAGTCCCCCTCCCCCCTAGTCCGTGACCACTTTTCCATTGACTGTTCCTGGCCATCTTATGAATGGTAGAATAAGTAGTGTTTCCAGCCTGTTCCCTCTTATTTCAGCTTTCCGAACCTGGGAAACTCGGAGGAGGGGATTCCGTTCAGCTGGGGTTAATCGGTGGGTGCAAACGTGCGTGCGAACGGAGTGGTGTGCGGAGCACCTGCTCCCTTGACTGAACTCCGCCCTGGGAACCCGGCGCTCCCGGAGCCGCGCACGCTCTCGTCCGCAGATTGGTTCCTTCGGGAACCTATCCGCTCTGCCGACGCCGGGACGCGTGGATGCCGACCCCGCTCTGGGGCCCGATACCCCGGGCGAGGTTTCCGGCGCTCTGGTTCCGGTGCGGGGGGACGGTTTGGGAGACTCTGCCTAGACAAGTCTCGGAATCGTTTTTATCATCGTTTCACTCTTCCCCATTTCACCCGCCCTTGAAGGGCCGAGACGGAAATCAGGTAGAGATGAGGGGTGAACCATGGGAATGCGACACCTCGCAGGGACCCGAGCCGCAAAAATCCACGTAATAATAAAAACAGCCCAGGAAGAGAACGCGGGCATTGTAACTTCCAAGATAAAGCCGAAACCAAAATAAACCCCTGGGTAAGGACAGGCCTGAAAGAGGAGGTGTCTGCCAAAACATACAGAACACTTTTCTTGACTGAAATAAAACATTGTTCAAGCAGCCCCTTTGGACCTTTAGCAAGCCAGAAAGCAAGCTGGAGCCGTGCTGCCTCCCACAGTTTCGGAAGTCTGGGGGCCTGGCTTCCTGAAGCCCTCACTCAATATGTAGGGGGGTGTTGTCAGGAGCAGGACCACCAGCAGGTAAATGGTGACAATTTTGTGTGAGAGGTAGTAAGGAACATAAACAGTGGGGGTATTAGGACGGAATAAAAGGAAAATCACTGATAACATAGCAAGGGAATGGGGGCAGGGAGGAACAGGCACAGGGTTCAGATGCTTCTAGTGGGCACTGGAGGCAACAAAGGCTGGGAAGTGTGTAAGGAAATTGAGACATGTAGAAGGGGTGGTGGGTGCTTAATGGCCCTACCTCATTCTCTCTGGGTCTTTGTTTTCTTTCTTTCTAGACTAGGGCAGTAGAAATGTTCAACTTGCAGGCTAGTAAGGACACTGAAAAATACTCTTTAATTCTCACTCTTCAATGAGAGCTCAAAGTTAATTGTTCTTTACTTTTAGCAAAACCTCTATGTGCACTGTTGTCAAGTGGATTCCAACTCAGAGACTCTGAAGGTCAAAATAGAATTGCCCATAGGGTTTCCAAACCGTGATGTTTTTACGGGAGCAGATTGGCCTCTGTCTCCTGCAGACCACTGGTGGGTTCATCCCACCGACCTTTTCGTTAGCAGCTTAACCTCTGCTCCCCAAGGCCCCTTAATGTAAGCAGATGTGTGTTTAAAGTATATAAGTATGCAACAATTGATGTATGGATGGATTGTGATAAGAGTTGTATGAGCCCCTGTATTAGTCTGGGTACTTTGGAGAAACAAATCCACATCAACTCATGTATAAGAGAGTGTTTTGTGTAAAGGTTAAGTGTGCATCAAAAAATATCCCAACCCAGTGTTGCCCAAGCCCACAAGTCCAACATTAACCCATTAACCCATATGTCCAACATCAGTCCACAAAGTCCCCCTCTATCTCACAAAACACACACTATGATGCCGACTGCAGGAGGAAAGCTGAATCAGTGAGCGTGGAAGCATCTCAGCGCTGGCAGGGGTCTCCACATGGGTGCTACAGCACCCAGGGCTGCATCAGGGTAGGTGCATGTGGCTTCTCCTTGGGGATGTCTTGCAGGAAGTCAACCTTGCAAGCTGGAGCAGGGAACTGCTAAGACAGCTGCACCCTGGTGCGCGACCATCACAAAGCAAGAGACCCGAGAATTCAAAAGGAGGGGCTCACTGAGCCATTTATCCCTCCGCCCTTCAATTAATCCCACATGTTTATCGGCCAGGTTGGCACAATAAACTAACTCAGCCCCCAATAAAGTGATTTTTAAAAAAAGTATAAGTACCCTCCCTACTCTAGGGGTAAGAATGGGTCCATGTTTGGGTGCTGGATACTATTCCACATCTCTGAAAACATATATATACGTGCTTCATGTGGGATTTCTTTTTCCCCAACTAGGCGCACACTCAGCATATTATTCTATATCATTTTCAAACAATATCACGTGGTGAACATCATTCTAAGTTGGTATACATAAAATTACTTCATGCTTGTCAAATATCTGCACAGTACCAGAAATGTCTGCATACTACTAATAGCTAATGTGTTTAGTGCTTACACAGTCTCAAGCACTTTGTGTCATATAATTTGATTCCTTCGGAAGTGACACTATCATTTCCATTCTATAGACAAGGACATAGAGCAGCAGACAGCTAAGCAACCTGCCCAGGGTCATAAAATCTTGGCAGAACCTATGTTTAGCCCAGGCAGCCTCACACTAGAGCCCCCACCACCAAACAATCTCCTTTCCTTCAGTGTATTAAATGATGGTACATTCGTCTGTACTTAGGGTTAAGCCCTAATGTTGCCTTCCATCTCCCTCTCCTCATTCCATGTTTGTTACCTGTTGTTCTTAGGCCTTGGGTGGTAGTTTATCTTCCTGCAAAAATGCATCCTTAATGATCAAAATATGACAAGAATAGGGAAGAAAAAAGATAAGTAGACACTTGCTATGATCAGAAGCTACCACTAGTAATACCTTTTCTCTGCAAAGCAACAGTATTAGTTATCTGTTATTTGTAACAAAGTACCACCAAATGAATAGCTTTAAGTAGTAAACACCTATTTCCCAGTTTCTCAAGCTGTGAATCCAAAAGCACCTTTGCTGGGTGTTACCAACTCAGGGTCATGCATGCAGTCAAAATCAGTGTCCTCGCGCGGCTACATCATCTAAAGCAGCGGTTCTCAACCTGTGGCCCTCGACCCCTTTGGGGGTTGAACAACCCTTTCACAGGGGTCGCCCAATTCATAACAGTAGCAAAATTACAGTTATGAAATAGCAACAGAAATAATTTTATGGTTGGGGAGGGTCCCCACAACATGAGTAACTGTATGAAGGGTCGCAGCATTAGGAAGGTTGAGAACCACTGCTTTAAAGGCTTGTGTGGGCCTTAGACAATTCCTTTCAGGAAGGCTCACCCACATGGCTGTTGGCAGGAGGCCTCAGAAATAGGAGGGAGAAGACAGGAGTGGCAAGTTCCTTACTACGTGGACTTTTCCACAGGACTAGTTGAGTGTGCACACAACATGGGAGCCAGCATCCCCCTGGTTGAGCAACGAGAGAGAGAAAACCAGGAGGAGGTCATAAAGTGCCTTTAATGATCTAGACTCAGAAGTTAGTTACACAAGGTCACCCTCAACATTTTCCCCGCTTGTTGGACGCAAAGCCACTAAGAATAGGAGAATATAGTTTTGCCTTTTGAATTTGAGTCACTTGTGGGCATCTTTCAAAACAATTACAATGATCGTTTGGTACCAGAGGTGACCAAGAACGGGGTCTTTTATGGAGGTCCTCATTTCTATGGGCTATGAAAAGAGTGACTTATCAATAAGTTGTTTTTCTGTCTCTAACCCTTGGTTAGAAACATTGATGTGAAGTGCTTATGCACGCAGCTGGTAACCCAGAGGTCGGCAGCTCAAAGGCACCAGCTGCCCCCTGGGAGAAAGATGTGACAGTCTGTTTCCCTAAAGAGTCCAGCTTGGATGGTGGTGGTGATGATACAACTGTTTGTTTGTTTAAATCATTTTATTGGGGGCTCATACAACTCGTATCACAATCCATACACACATCAATTGTGTAAAGCACATTTGTACATTCGCTGCCTTCATCATTCTCAAAACATTTCCTGTCCACTTAAGCCTTTGATATCAGCTCCTCATTTCCCCCCTTCATCCCCCCTCCCCCCTCCTTCATGAACCCTTGATAATTTATAATTTATTATTATTTTGTTATGTCTTACACTGTCCAACATCTCCCTTCACCCACTTTTCTGCTGTCCATCCCCCAGGGAGGAGGTTATATGCAGATCCTTATAATCGGTTCCCCCTTTCTACCCCACCTTCCCTCTACCCTCTGCTATCGCCACTCTCACCACTGGTCCTGAAGGGATCATCTGTCCTGGACTCCCTGTGTTTCCAGTTCCTATCTGTACCAATGTACATCCTCTGGTCTAGCCGGATTTGTAAAGTAGAATTGGGATCATGATATAGGGGGTGGGGAGGAAGGATTTAAGAATTAAAGTTGTGTATTTCATTGTTGCTC